TTGTTTAGGTCTGAGATGCTGGTGCGACTTCCAGTGGCAATAAAATGCTACATTTTTATTAATGTTATTCCAGACATCAGATATAATAGTAAAACACTGACAGGGACCATATTTCTGCACAATGACTATTTTTACTTTTGATACTTTAAGTACACTTTGCTGATAATACATACGTAGAGTATTCAGTATTCACAGTGTGGTATTAGTACTTAAATAATGATCTGAATATTCCTTCCACCACTGCATGTGCTGCACATGTGTGTTTATATTACCTTTCATTGATACTCTCAGCTCTGAGTGTGTAAACTCTGTCTATGTGAGAGATGTGGAACAGAGGTTCATCTCCTGACGGGTCGGTCGGCAGCTTCACTAACACTTCATTTAAGAAGATTGGCTGAAAGAGACAAGAGACAAGCTCAGTTATTAGTCTGTTCTACATAAATTCTAATTCAAATACTGTTCATGTATCTGCAGAATCTAAAATCTTTTCAGCATTTTAACAAAGTTGGGAAACAATATTTCTTATTGAATATTGCCATTANNAGATAAAAGAAAATAATACTGTCAAACAACATTATTCTTAAATATATATATTTTTAAATTTTAGAGCCAAACTTCTATGACTTATTTAAAATTTAAAAATAGTCCACCACTCAGTTTCAGGTTGGACAGTGAGGGGGAAATTGTTTAGTAAAACACAGTAATAACATTTATCAATCAGTTTAGAAATGTAGCATCTCTCTTCAATTCATTCCAAATAAATTTAAAACGAACAGCTTTACTTCAGGAGTTAAGGATTCTGTAGAAGCAGCAGTATGAGGGTAAATGCACATCTGTGTGTTAGTGCGTGTGTCGTCTTACCGTCTTGTACATGCGGTACTGCAAGTGTGTTTTCGAAGAGAAGACTTTGTCGGAGCCTGACGAGCCCAGAGGTTTGGTCACCTGTGAGAGAGACAAAGAGGAAGTTGGATTTAGAAACAGGAAGCGTGAACTGAGCAATAGAAACACACGGAGTCAGCGAGACAGCCCGAGGAACGGCAGGCTCACCTGTGTCAGCAGCAGGAAGTCATTGAACAGAAACCCGTAGAGCTCCTTGCTGCTCTTGGCTTTAAACAACTTCCCGCTGTGGAGGAACTTCCTGGGACCCAGACAGTTGGTGACGGAGTTAAACACCAGTTGCTGAAGGACAGACAGGGACAGGTGAGTCTAAGCCGAGAGAACCTGCTGGTTGTCTGGATTCTTCATGTTTTATTATGTTGAAGTTTGTCGGATGAGATCAGATTGACTGCTGTCACATTGACTGGTGTGTAGAGCAGCTTGTTGGTTGTGTGAGTGTGTTGCAGTTACCTCAGAAAGGCCTTCACACTGGACGTGAGCCTGAATCCACTCCAGACGATCTGAGTTCTCCTTCTCCCTGACGCCCTCATTCACCTAAACACACACACACACAC